CAGGGAGCCCGATGCGGGGCTTGATCCCAGGACCCTGGGATCATGACCTGAGCCGAAGGCAGACGCTTAACGACTGAGCCACCCAGGCACCCCTCTTTTTTGTTTTCTATATGAAATCAAATGAGCAATGAAGGTTGACAGACTTAGGGAGGGTAACATTGACTTACCTGCCACTTAGCAGCTTTCAGTCCTATTCCTTTGATTGTTTTCACATGGAAAATTTAATCTTAAATTAAAATTTTGGTCTAATTCAGATTCTCTTTGGCAGGAATCAGGGATGTATCAGTGTTTCTCTATCTTTGAGATTCAGAAATACCACAGATACTCTGAGATTCAATAAACTGGATGTTTCTGCATGATACATAAGATGTATCGTGCATGTTTCATTCTTTGGGGTATATTTTTTATTTCTGTATGTTTTGTGCATCTCATATATTTGTATTTTAGTTAAAATGATAACTTGTTACTCTACAAGAACTTAGATTTGTAAGCATTGCTAGTCCATGTCAAAGCATTTTTACAGAACGATCTTGTTATTAATGGCCTTGCATCTTTGGCAGGTGCCTGTTTTATAAAGTGCGAACATGTGATAATTGCTGTGTCACCATTTAATGCATCTTGATTTTGTCCTTTAATGCTTTCGCAAACATAGGATTGGCCACAAAGAAACCTGTAAGTAATGGAAGGAAACACCCCCTTGGTAAAGAATATTCTCCTGAGCCTCTACCTCCTGGCGTCTCTGGTTTCCTGCCGTGGCGCACAGCGGAACGTGCAAAAAGGACCAGGTATTTATTCCATCTTGAGTCGTTTAGAAATTTTCATTTTGGAGCTTCAATTATGCGGGAGGTTTCTCTAGAGAAAAAAATGATAACTCACACGTGGCTTCTGCCTAATGGGTCCTTGAAAGAAGAAAAAAAAAATAGTTATAATTGGGAGTTGCAGATTATTTCTTATGTGTCCCAACAAACATTCTCTCCACCGGTACAGGTGAGTAAAGGTTTCATTAAAGGCGGGTGTAATTGAGCTGGGCCCTACAGTGCAGGAGGAGGAACTTGGACATGTAAGGAATGGGGAAAAAAGACATTTTCGGCCTGGGGGATAGTTTAGTACAGAATGGATGGGGAAGTAGGGATTAGACTTAATCTAACTCAGTCAACCGGCTTAACTCATTTTAGTGAATCAGATTTAGTAAATCAAATTAGATTTAACTAGTTTTAGCTGATTACTTACCCAGGGGATAACAGTGCATAGCGATTTTTATACTAGAAGTATAAAAGTCTCTTTAAATGGTCGAACTATAATTTTAGGCCTGCTGAGTGAATTAGTTTGCTGTAGATTATTTTCAGGTAATTTACAGGGTAGTATTCAAGAAATTGGGGATTAACAATTGCTTAAGAAAACAAAGAATTGATTTTAAATAAGACTTGAGGTAGCTACTATGTAAAATAATTGTTCACTTGCTCACATTGAATTGTTGAATATAATCTCCATTGCAAATGGTGATGTGAATTATTATTGCATAAACTCTAGTTCCCAGGCCCCAGTCTTTACACTTCAATTTTATGACTTTGTGATTTCATATCTTCTTTTTATGATAACTGTTAATATCGAGACCATTCTGACCACAAGGAGTTGTCAATTGGAGAATGATTATTAGTCAAGGAAGTTAGATTGGAAGTCTAAACTGTCCTGAACGTAGAAAGTGAAGACACCCCTCAGCAGTTCAGAGAGTTGTGACAAGCCAGTCTGCTAAATTCTGTTCAATTTTCTGCCAGGTCCTTATTTTGAGCTTATTTTGCTTATACGTAATTCATATGTATTATTAATAGTATTATTGTACATAATTCTAGCAAATTCTAGCAAACTGGCGTTAACTGGTAATATTCACATCAATGTCTAACTTAATTTGTTGGTATCTCTTTAGGGGTTTTCCATTAATCAGAACTCATGATGTATATAATCATTTGCAGGTATGTAGTTCTCATATTTACAATATATAGAAGGTTAAGTGGGAAAGGTGGGAGGGCGTTCTCTTTGCATTTCAAACTAAACAGAGCCTTACAGAAGACATTTCCGTCTCTGAAATAAATCCATTGGCAACTTGTCAGGTTGCTCTCCCAATGACGGTATGTAGTTGTGTGAATATGACACACACTGGGGATCTTGTGGTTCCATCCGTAAACAGGGAAGCCATTTCTCCAGTCCACAAGTCACCTGTTAACCCAGTGAAAGGAATTTGACTGCCAACTCATGGAGCTACCATTCTCAAGAATGTCTTTTATGTTTTCGAGAAATGTCATTTGAGAGCTATATGTATAAGTATATGTATAAGTTCCAGATCCTAAAGGCAAAATAAAGAAGCCAGTCCCAGAGCGTCTGCTCTCTCAGAGCACTTCTTCCTCTCTCACCAAGGCCACACACATTCCCTGTCCTACCAGCCAGTTCCGTCAGAGTGTCAGGTTCTCCTTCCCCCTTGTCCTGGGGAACTACATAGCAGCTCTGAGTAAGGTAACACTACTGGATTGAGAGAAGAGCACCCCGGGTGTGAGCCCTGCCCACTGCATGTCCAGAAGAAGGGGTGCACACCTCATTCTACCATTGGGACTTTCCTGCACTGTGGGATTTGTTGCCCGTGGTTAAAATGACACCCCAGTGACTTGTCTTCTGTGCAGTTATGTAATCCCAGCACTCCTCTTTTTGATCTGTAGACTTTTTATGGGGTTATGATCAGGTCAGTTTTCAAATGTTTGGGAACAGCATACTGAACAGCATTCCAGTGGCAGTGAATTGACAGGAGAACTGTATTACCATTACAGTAGTTCTGCTTTAAGGTGGCTAAAGGATGGTAAGATGAGGTTTTTGATGGGTCCATTTTAGTTGTGCATGTGTAAGTGATTTTTTTAATTTTCATGTTTTTTTTTTCACTAGATCTGTTGACTTTCTAATTATTCTTCTAATTCTTCTTATCAGTCCCCTACTGATGGATTTTTTCCTCCAAAAACTACATTTTCTTTCAGACTTTTTATACCTAACAGTGGAGAGTAAATGTCTCATCTGCAGTAAAAAGTTGGTCTGAGAAAAATTTTACCCTGGCTCCTCAGTTGGCTTATATGAAAGAAAGTTAATAAAATAATATGGAGGATTCCAAATATTAATCTTAATAGAATTCTATACAGTGACAGCAAAAATAAATCATTGTCATTTTACTTTGTCATTGCTTGTTTTAGACTAAGCAGTGGAAGACATTTATACATAATGACTTGATACCTCAGGTCAGTTTTGTTAAATGTCCTGTAATATTTGTTAGCTGGTTTTTGTTATCTCTTCTACAACCTTGACTTCTTTTTCTAAGCAATCAGATTTTCCTGTGACTGTGACAGTAGAGAGTCCTTCCTCCTCAGAAATTGAAGAGGTCGACGATTCATCCGAAAGTGTTCAAGAAGAGCCTGAGAAAACCAGTTTAAAACAAGAAGCATTAGAGGTATAAAGTTACCACTTTAAGATCCAGAGATTATTTTTTAAACCATAGTGGTTACTGGGCAGGAGGAAGCCTGATTAGGGCACTGGATGAGCTTGTACATGGCTTCTGTCTTCCCCTCAACGATTCCTTGGCTTAGACCAAGGTGGAAGGTAGACGTTTGAATTCTGAGAAATAAAAATCAAAACATGTCATCAGTAATATATTTTCCTTTCCTAACCGACTGAGCCACCCAGGGGCCCCTTTTACTATTTGATTTTTTAAAAAAGAAAGCCAGATTTTTATTTTCCCAATTAAAATTAATGACAATAACATAGAGAAATTTTAAGATAAGTACTTGGAAAATTACGAAATATTAGAGTGGGATGAATCTGTAACTGATGTAGAATTACCCCTTTTCATTTTCTAAATGAGCACCTACAATTTGTAGCACTTAAAATGCTTTGTTACTAAGCTGCCGAGTAGAGACAAGACCCCAGACCGTCTAATTTGCGTTCATGGTCATTTTATTTTTTTTTTAAAGATTTTATTTATTTATTTATTTGACAGACAGAGACACAGCGAGAGAGGGGACACAAGCAGGGGGAGAGGGAGAGGGAGAAGAGGCTTCCCCCTGAGCAGGGAGCCCAATGCGTGGCTCCATCCCAGGACCCCAGGATCATGACCTGAGCCGAAGGCAGACGCTCAATGACTGAGCCACCCAGGCGCCTCTCATGGTCGTTTTAGATTTCCTGCACCGAGACACTAGGGAGCTTGTACTTCTAAAAGCAACAGTAAGGCACTGGGGAAGGCCAAGAAGGTCAGGAACTGTAACTAGGGACTACCTGATTCAGGATGTGCTGAGGACCCTCTCGGCTCTTCTCCACTTTGATAAGACATTAAAGTGCTGGTATCAAATTTTTAAGAATATATCCACAACAATCAATAGAAGGGATTTCAACATTTTTTTCAGAGACAGAAGGCAAGTGGAAGGGTGTGAAGCTGTGAACAGAGGAACAGTACCACCTAGAATTTGCACAGGGACTGGCTGCAGCTGAGGGAATCTAATCCCCCACGGCAGAAACAGCTCCATCTTCAGATGTGTGTGACAGAGAGAGGGTGGAGTTGGTTAAAAATGTGACTGAAATAAGGAGAGCGTGTGGAAGGTTTATATTTGGGAGAGCTGACTCCCATCCCTACCCTCATTCTCCTGAAATGAGATAATTTGACTTTGGGAGAAACTAAATTCTACTCCTGAAACCACTATTACACTAGATGTTAACTAACCAGAATTTAAATAAAAATTTGGGGAAAAAAAGACTGGGGAGAATTAGGGCACCTAGTGGAGTTTTGCACCCTAGAAAAGAGTATTTGGGGGTTCCTTATTACAACTGACTACCCACCTCTTCACACATAAGAGAAGCCAGTCAATCATGAGCTTCCAGGGAGCTTTCTGCTCCTGTTCCTAAGTAGAAAATAACCATGGTTCGCCTGAGAGTTAGTAAAGCATACAACATGATGGGAAAAAAAAAAGAGTAAAAACAGATACCTGGTAGGACCAGAGACTATTTGCTGTTATTGTCTCTCAACAGAAAACAGAACAAAATGTAAATATCAGCTTTGACAACATAAAAGGTAGGTTTGGAAGGTAAATAGGAGGTGGAAAGAAGGGGAAAAGACATGAATGTCTTCATTTCCCAAAGCGGGGTGTTGAGAGAGTTTGTGGTCGATAAACAATACAGAGTTTTATTTATTTATTTGACTCGGAGAGAGAGATAGTGAGAGAGAGCGCACAAGCAGGGGGAGAGGCAGAGGGAGGGGCAGAGGGAGAGGGAGAAGCAGGCTCCCCACTGAGCAGGGAGCCCAATGCGGGGCTCCATCCCAGAACCCCGGGATCATGACCTGAGCCAAAGGCAGACACTAAACCGACTGAGCCACTCAGGCACCCCAACAATACAGATTTTTTTTTTAAAGATCTTATTTATTTGAGAGAGAGACAAAGAGAGTGAGAGAAAAAGAGAGAACACGAGCGGGGTGAGGGGCAGAGGGAGAAGCAGACTCCCTGCCGAACAGGGAGCCCGATCCCAGGACCCTGGGATCACGACCTGAGCCGAAGGCAGACATTCAACCGACTGAGCCACCCAGGCCCCCCCCCCAACAATACAGATTTTTAAGTATATCACTGCAAGTCAAAGAGTTCATGACCAGTGGGAAAACGAATGGTGACGTGACTTCACTGAGAGGAATGGACTTAGGAAAGAGTGTAAATGAACTAATGTCTTATTTGGTAAAGTAGGAAGTTAATAATGTCTAAAATTTCATCATGACGTAGTCATGTAAGTTTCTTACTTGGAAATGAGAAGAATTAAAAATAAGAATGGCTAAAGTCTCATTAAGAAAGGAAATCCAGATGGCTAATAAACATGGACAAGTGTCCAATATGAAATGCCACTACCCTCCAATCACATTAACAAAGAAGTCTGATAATTACAGGTTTCCTAGACCTGGAGTATAATAGGAATCTCACACCCTGCTTATATGGGCATATAAATCGACACAGCTACTTTGGAAAGCATTCAGCATTGTTCATTACCTGAAGGCGTGCTAATCCTTCACAACCCAAGTTTCCCTATCCCCTGCCCAGCCGGTATACATACTAGAATAACTGGTGCAATAGGGTACGTGTGTGATTTGCTTTAGGACCAACTAAAAGCAGCCCAAACATCCCTGAAGAGTCAAAAATGATGTGTATTCATACAGTGGGGAAACTACAAAGCAATAAAGTTGAATGAACTAGAGCCTACTGGCAACAATGTAGGTGAATTTTTAAAAACAATATTGACTGGAAGACTGCATATACTGTGATTCTCTTTTTTTTTTTTTTAAAGATTTTATTTATTTGAGAGAGAGAATGAGACAGAGAGCGAGAGCACGAGATGGGGGAGGGTCAGAGGGAGAAGCAGGCTCCCCGCCGAGCAGGGAGCCCGATGCAGGACTCGATCCCGGGACTCCAGGATCATGACCTGAGCCAAAGGCAGTCACTCAACCAACTGAGCCACCCAGGCGCCCCTACTGTGATTCTCTTTACATGAAGTTAAGAGTTGGCAAAACCAAAGGAAATTTTTAGGGATGCATGCATGTAAAGATGCACTTTTTAGTATGGATACCGTATTTTACAATTAAAACCTACTCAAAGGGGCGCCTGGCTGGTTCAGTCGGTAGAGCGTGCAACTCTTGATCTTGGAACTGTGAATTCAAACCCCACACTGGGCATAAAGATTACTTAAAAAAAATGAAAACCTGCTTAAGAAAAGGTTGCCTCTAGGGGGCTGTATGTGTGAGTGAGTTGAGACTATTTGATTTTAAGTCCTTCGCTACTGTTTGCATTCACATATATTCATTATATGTGAATTAGCATTAACTGAACGTACCCTATGCAGCAAGCACTCTTCTGAGTTTATGTGAGTGTTGTTAACTTGTAATCCTCACAAGAACTGTGTGATGTGAGAACCTGTCTTCATGTTAGAGATGAGGAAATGGGAGGCCTAGAGTTACTGAACTTGTCCAAGGTTATATAGCTGAGGGGCAGGGCCAGGTTTTAGCCACAGAGATTCTGAATTTTTAAAATATAATCTGAAGGAGAAATTTAACTACTAAGTACACACAGAACTCGTATTGGCACAGGTTTACCTTATTCAACAATTACTTTTCGTGTGCTTTGTGCTAGATACATGTGCTGGGATCAAATATGCCCCCTTCCCCTAAATTTCTTGCACTTTGAAGTGAGGAAGCAAGCCAACAGTTATAGTAGAAGTTATATACCAAGTGATACATTGCTGAAAGCAGTCTAAAATCTTAGGAATCTTTTGTAGATCAGTATCACAGAACCTTAAAAATGTTCATTTGCTTTGATCTCAAACTCATTTTTATTGACTCATTGCAAGAAAATTATCTACATATGGGAAAAGGCCTTCATGTGTAAAAATAGTTATTTTGTTTTATAATACTGAAAGGTTGGAAAGAATTTAAATGTTTAACCATATAGGAATGATTACAGAACCGAGACATGCTCAGTGGAATATTTTGTAGCCCTTTAAAAAAGTCAAGGTTAGGGGTGGCTCAGTTGGTTAAGTGGCCGACTCTTGATTTCAGCTCAGGTCATGGTCTCAGGGTCAGGATATTGCGCCCCCGAGTTGTGCTTCTTGCTCAGCAGGGAGTCTGCTTGAGATTCTCTCTCACTCTCTCTCTCCCCCCCTCCCCCCTCTCCCCTGCCAGCTCACGGGCACTCTCTCTCTCTCTCTCAAAAATAAATAAATCTTTTTTAAAAATCAAGGCTATGAATCCCCTGATTATATAAAAAATGATCCACTGTAAATGAAAAAAAGTTGGGGCGCCTGGGTGGCTCAGTCGTTAAGCGTCTGCCTTCAGCTCAGATCATGGTCCCAGGACCCTGGGATCGAGCCCCGCATCGGGCTCCCTGCTTAGCAGGAGGCCTGCTTCTCCCTCTCCCACTCCCCCTGCTTGTGTTCCTTCTCTCGCTATGTCTCTCTCTGTTAAATAAATAAATAAAATCTTTAAAAAAAAAAATAAATGGAAAAAAGTTAAACATAAAATTAGAGATACAGTATGATGGGAGCTTTGTTCCAGAAAAAAAAAAAAAAACTAGCCAATGTATAGAAGGGGAAGGAGAGCAGATGACAAGAAAGAGGATTTCTCCAAAACCTGATCATTAGTCTAATTTACATAACAGAATGTCAGATAATTTTGCTTTCTAATCTTTTGGTTCCATATTTTTTTTAAGTGTAGACATTGAGCTTTTTTTAAAATTTGTTTTAATTTAAATTCAATTAACATATAATGTATTATTAGTTTCAGAGGTAGAGTTCAGTGATTCATCAGTCTTATATAAAACCCAGTGTTCATTACAACTTGTTCCCCCCCTTAATGTCCCATAACCCAGTTACCCCACCCCACCCCCCTCCCCTACAGCATCCCTCAGTTTGTTTCCTATGATTAAGAGTCTCTTATGGTTTCATATTTTTTTAAAGAGCATGAATTACTTTTAACTTTGTAGGAAGGTACAGTTTTTCATGAAAATCCAACGTGATATTCTAACTCCCTCCACTAGAGGGAGAAGCTATTTCATGTAATTGCACAATGTGCTGTTTATATTTAGAGCCAGTTGAGAATGGAGCATTTCAGTCTGTACATTCTCTGATTGTGGTGAGACTTTCTTGTTTACTGATTTGTTTAGAATTTCTGTGAAAAAAGTTTTAAATATTAAAACCATTATATAGGGGCGCCTGGGTGGCTCAGTCGTTAAGCGTCTGCCTTTGGCTCAGGTCA